TTCCTAACCTGCAGCTGACCCAATTTGGTCCAAACCCTCTCCAAATCAAATTTCTTGCATAGCAAGGCTGAGTTTTTCTGTGTGGCCAGTGGGCTGCTGCAAACAGGGGGGTGAACTATTGCCCTGCTGGGCATTGTCAATGTGCTTAAACGTTTTTTAACATATTGGGCATGATTCTGTCTTCACATAAATATGTACTGTACTCCTCTTTCTTCTTTGAAGATTTATTTTTGTGTAACTAAAGATATGATGTCATCTGCTACCTTATTTGTTTATTTTACTTACATAAGCAATTACACTTACCCACAGATATTCACAGTTGGCTTAACAAGGATGGCTCCAGGAATCTGCTGAATTTATGAATTTTGGGTGTGAGTCTAAAACTGTTCCTTAATTTGATGCTCTGATATATCTGAGTTCTGTGCAGTTTGCCATTATCATAATTTTGGCTAAAAATGGTTGAAGTTGTTAAAGCTTGATGATCATTCAGGCACACGGGCCACCAGCAGACCTGAAACACATTCTGGTCAGCATTGCAGTGGGGTGTGAGTGAAAGAAGGAAACTCCTAGGTCAGGTGAGATTTTGTATCTCACCTGAAATGAGAGGAGAGAAATGAGCTACAGGAAGGAGTGTAGGGTCAGGGTCTGTGTGTAAAGGTAGTGGCACAAGTTAGGAGAAGAAATACCTACAGGATTTCCCTATCAAATCCAGATTGATGCCTTTGTTATCCCAAAGAACAGCTAATGAGCATCTAAAGCCAAATGTCTGCTGCTTTTGAAGTGCTGTGTGTCCAGCCATTCATTTTAGTTATTTTATCTAGAAAAAACACCTGGTTTAAACCATCCTCTTTTAAAAAAAAAGATACCAATGTAAAGAAAGTCCCCATACTTGGATCCTAGGGATGGTGCCATGCTGCATCCTGGTCTCCAAGGATGAGGGATCAAGAGCAAGAGATACAGACAAGCTTGAAAACATTCATATTTGATGGGCTGAGACCCAAATGTTGCAATTTAGAGACTTTCTATTTGTTTGAATCCTACAAGTCTGATTAGAGACCCAAAATTGCCAGGAGGATTCCTTCTGAGCAGGACAAGAGGGACAATGACCTCATAAGCTTCCTGCTAATGCTTTTTACATTAATGTTATTATCACTGTTGTTGGTATTATTAAATAGAGCTTTAAAACTACACAGAATCTCATAACAATAAATGACACTTTGGTGATATTACCTGTTTAATACTACAGCAATTGCTTGTAATTAGATATAACTAATAAAAAGGCTTCTTGCCAACTTGAACTTTTTAATTAAGTGCTTCATGGCTTCCAGTAAAAGTAAAATATGTTCTACTGGTGTTATATTAGCTTGGGACATCTGCCCTGATGATGTACTTCTTACTTTTCTCAAAAGTTATCATTTTGCTCCTCACAAGACCTAAAGGTTACTGGTGTCACTTTCTTCAAATATTTGCACTGACTCCCTTTTACTTTAGATGCAATCATTCAGATTTTGATGTTTTGCCGGCTCCTCTTTTTGATCATTCTAAGGATATTCTCAAAAGGAGCTTAGGATTCAACCAAGTGGCTCCCACCAGTTTCATGAGCCATAATGCCAGATCCTGAGGTTCAGAACTTTATCAAATATCAGTAGATATTACTCCTTGTGTAAGGTTTTATTTGCTGACCTTCCTAACATTTCTGAAGAGAATTTTCAAGAGCATTGGTTCCTGTTCCTGCCTCATTTCAGCACTGTCAGTTTTTATTCTCTTGCTCTGTGTCTGCACCCACTGATGATGGATTTTTGGGCCTAAACAGCAAAAAAATGCCAGCCACTGTCTGTTAGGAGCCTCCCATCTCCTCCCACAGCCCATCCTAACCCAGAGGTGTGATCCTGCCTACAGTGAAACCACCTATCAACAAAATAACCCAACCTTAGACCCCAAAACTTAATTCCTTGTTCATATTTCTGTGTCCCTGCATTGGGATGGTGAATTGTGATTTTTTTATAAGAAGAAGAATTCAGGATGGCAGCCCACCAAGAATGAACTATAGAAGATGTCAGCAGGAGGAGATGCTGCCCAGCTACCTCATTAGAGTACCTGGGCTAATCAATCACCAGAATTCTTGCTCACCTCGGGTGCTTGATCAAAACTTATGGATGTTCAGTGATTGCACAGGAGCTGCAGGCTGAGTTTCAGCCCATTTCTTATATTTATTTTGATTGTGTTGATTTTTCCAAGCTAAGTCGAAAGAACCGAGCAAATCTCTCCCCATCTGTAGCAGGAAGAAAACATTTCAAGTACACACATATCTTCTGAAAACTGCTTTTTTCACAGTTCTCAGGCCACAGCTTTCAGTTCCACAAATGATTCATTTCAAAGTTAGGTTGACACAGAAAGCTGAGCAGATATTGTTTGCAGAAGGGGAAAAAACAATCTTAATAGAAATGCTTGATTTTTCCAGGGTCACTTTATACACATTTACAGTGGAGTTTCAGCCTCATGCTGGCCAACAGAGACTCCCTCAGGGAAATATTTAGGACATTTGTAGATTATATGAGAGAAAACTGGCAAAATATGTAATAGAATTACTCTTGGAATTAGACTATTTATTATTTTTAGCTCCAGAATGGTAGTAAATATGGTGTGCTTGCTCGTGGCAAACAAACTAACTATAGAAATGCAAAGTTGTGGAATTTCCATTTCATTTCCTGCCTCATTAATTTCATTAACTTACAAATAGATGAATACATAAAATTAAAAAGTAATTTCCTTTAAATATTTTTAAATTACTCTCTCCAAATATTCATACCTTTTAATCTGTTCTTTTAGGGTCTCTGTGTAATTGCTCTTACGGAGGCATACTTGGGCTTTTGTGAATCAGATATCAGTGTGATTGATTATAAGGGAGCTAATCAGAGGGTGCCATTCACAAGATAAATGCAACTGTTTCTAAAATATTTGCTTGTAGTCTGTGGCATTTCACTAACTCGGCAGCATGTATGAAATGATGTGTGGGTGGGATGTGTGAAGGTGTGGATTTATGTGGGGAAATCAAATCTAGCCATGAAGGAAATGCTATTTCTTCTTTTTTTTTTTTTCCTTTTTTTTTGTTCCTTATACAAGGACAAATTGCATGGGAATTATAGTGTTTCCCATTTAATAGAAGTAGCCTTCATGCTGATATTTTTCACAACAGTGACAAATGGCAGCTAAAAAGAAAGGGAGAGAATGTAATCAATCTTTATACCTTTAAAAACAGTTGAAAACTAAGATGAGAACTAAACCATTTCAAGAGAAAAGTAAATAGTTGGAAGCAAACAATTATCTGGAAGAGAAGGGAAGTGCAGAAGATGACTTGAGACTTAGTGCTGGGTCTTGGAGGAGGCAAAAACTCCTGCTCTGCTTTTCTGTCTTTTTTGGGACTCCAGTTTCCATGGCCACAGCACTGTAATGTGTATGTCCAGAAAGAAGAATATTCCCCCAAAAGGCCTCAGAGTCTGAAAGCTGAAAATGTGTAAGGGGGAAATTAGGAAGAAAAATTGAACTTTGCTCCAATTCCCAGGGATTGATGACTGTTAAACAGCAACAGCTGAAGGTGCAGCTCAGACTAGAAATCATCCAGGTATTTAACATGTATTTAATGCTAGTATTTTAGCTGTGCCCTGGCATGGTATTTGTTAAAGTTGCTGGAAAAGGCACAAAAATAGGAATTTTAAATTAAGTAAAATATTTGACTGAGATTTCACATAGATCAGAACAGTAAAAACACATAATGTAAAAACTGCTATACCCTCTGAACCCACTCTAAAAGCTCACATAACAGACAAAAGATTAAATAGGGAGTCTTGAACATTTTGCTGAACACAAAGAAATTAACTCCTGGTAGGATTAGATCAGACTCTGCTAGGTGTGCTCGGGATGATGGAAGATTGGGAAGGGAAAACTCGGCACTTCTCAAATTGCACGAGTTGAGAAATGAGCCGGTCAGTCAGAAAATGGCCCCCTATTTATTCTGTTATTCAAATGTCCCTCCTGCAGCTGAGGGTCTCAGCTGGATTTCCAGACTTTGCATAAGGCATTCTGCATCAGGTTTGGGTTTTGTGCATTTAGAACCTGCAAATCAAATGTTTTCTGGCATAGAAAATGTTATTGCAATGCATGTTTATTGGAGAAAAAAGAGATGTACAGACGCTGACACCTCCAGAGTTTTACAAAACCTTCCATTCTTCCTCTTTAAATCAAGTATTGATTTGGCCTGGGTTCAATGTGTGCTTTAAACTAATGCACCATAATGAAAAGTCATGGAAAGATTACTTAGGAATAAGATTTTCAGACTTAGCTGAACTGCAGTGTTTTCATAATTATAATGAAGACACTTAAGGGGATATTTTTCATGCAATGCCTGGCAGTAATCCAGTGTCGCTCCTATTAAAACCACCTGGTCAGAAATTAATCATGGTGTTTGAAAACTGTAATATTTAAGTAACAAATTATTTTCTCTTTAGTGAAATTTAAAAAACCCAAACATATTATTTATATATTTTACATTTATTATATGAGAACTGAATGCCATTCTTTAAACAGGTGGTAGAAGAGGACAAAAAAAGTTTAGTTTTTATTTTAACCATAGCTGCAGTGAACAAATTGAAACTGAAATATTTGTATAACTGCAGAGAGAAGTTATGAGATCCAAAATAGACATTGATCTTATAGCTGTTTGAATACAGTAAATATTTTTTTCCTTTGGATGATCTTTCACAGACAAGGCTTTCTTCACATGCAGACAATTACTAATTACTTATAACTCCCTTTTCACAATAATCCCCTAGTACAATTTTCAGTACTTTCCTGAGGTCCTTTGATATACCTGTCTAACCCAGGTTTGCATTTCCCCACAAGAAGCTTATAAGGCATTTTCTTACACCCTGTTACCTGGCTGGGTGACAAGGTCTAATTGTTGCACTGTGTCTGAGCTGCCTCCCCTCTTTCTGCCTTTACAGCTGGACTCCTCTACCCAAGACTTCAAAAACCCCTTAGCAGCATTTTCAGAAGAGACTTGAGTTGGTGCCTTCATCATTTTGTGCTGGCAGAAGGTGGGAACATGACAGGCCTTGGCAGCAGATTTTCTTTCTGCTGCACCCAAAGGCGCTGTGGAAGGTGAGTTCTCTTATTTTCCCTCTGGGGAGCATGGACGAGCTGTTCTCGTTTCTGATACCCGTTTTACTCTGAGATTTGCAAACACATTAATGTCTAACCACCCTCACTAACATTTAAATATAGTCTCTGACCACTCTTCTGTGTGTGTCCTTGTCTGGCAACTTTCACACGTTTCAAGAATGATGTTTGTCTAACACAGACTTCCCAAACTCATCATGCTCTGCTGTTTCTGCCTTTTTCACCCACTTTTACTCTGTGCTTTTTCTCTCCTCTAGTACAGACTATTCAAAAGGACATAAAGTCTAGAGATGCTCATATTGGTGTTTCTCCTCCTTTTCCCCAGCAGATCCTTCCCAGGCTGATTTCCTCAAAGCACTGTTTTGTACCTGCGAGTCCTGAAACAGAGATTGGGGTGGTCAGTAGTGGTGATTCAAATGTCAGGGGACACCCCCTTTTAAACAGAGTGGAAACACCTTCAGAAATCTGGCTTTCTCCTGGAGAAGTCAGGACTTCAGGTGGTTGATGAGAAAACCTGAGCAGAGAGCCAATGACCAAGTCTAAATGACGGATATTTCCTTCTCTGAAACCTGTCCTGCCGCTGTGAGCTCAGAAAGCTCAGAAAGCTCAGCCTGCACCACACACTCGGGGTGCACAAGGTGACACTGGCAGCCAGAAAGTGTCTGAAAGCAAGATGAAAACTCAGTTTGCTGGGAACATCTTTGTCAACATCAAGATTCCCAAAATAAAGCTAGAGTTCAGGAAGGGTCAGGGAGAAAAAGTAGCAAAATGCCAGCAAAACTGGGAAATGCTATCAAAGCATCTGACAAGCTCAGCAAATACCAGAATTGCCTCTCCAGTGAAGTTTAATTAAAAAGTCTATTGTTTCCATTATTGCTTAATGATTCCTCAAAAAGTAGAACAAAAGTTTATTTTAGAGGTTAATTATTCCTGGAATTTTAAAGGGATAGAAGAGTATTTCCCTCTATCTCATTTGGTAACTGAACCATTAAGGAGAGTGAAGCAAATGGTGATGTAAGAATTGGTGAAAGCAATTTAGGTTTTAGAAGAAACCTTCTCATGTCAGATATCATGGTGCTGTTGCACAAAAACAACCTCCTAGCAAATTAAGTTAACTTTCTGTGCTGGAAAAAACTTGTCAGTGACTTCTCCCCATTTGCTGCTGAATTCTAGCTGAGACTCAGCATGAGGAAATGGTGCAGTTGTTTCTGCAAGCAAATGAGAAAATGGATCCATTGGGGCATAGCACTCACTGTGCTGCCAAGAAAGCCTGATTCTGCTCCCTCAGACTTGTCTATGCTAATTGCCATGCTGGGTTTTGTCATCTGTCCAATAAGCCATGCATCAAAACTCAGGATTCAACACTAAAACCTCATGCTAGTAGGGAATTGTGAAATAGATTGTTGGATATGGGGAGTACATATTGTTTCACTTTAGGAAGAGAAAGAAGCTGTGGAGGTATTGTTCTTCAATAACAATAGGTTAGGTTGCTATATGCAGGTTCCTATATCAACTTAATTTTCTATCAACTGCATGTCTTTCAGAAGTGTATTAATCAATGTACTAATATCTGACATGTGAAGCTCATTTTTTCTCATTCCTCTCCCAAAGAGTTAAGTGGCAACAATAACAAATGCCATGAAAGGCAGAATTCCAGAAGCACCAGAACAGAGCTCAGTGCAGTGCCTGTTTCCCAGTCATTTAGATGCAGATATTTAACTATAATCAGGGATGTTACTCCCTGCTTAAGATTGTGCCATGACCTTCACTGCCCACACTGAGGCAGTTCACAGATATTATCCAGGTTGTGTGAGTCAAGGACAGCCTGAATATTTCTTTGAGATTATAAAGGTGCTCCAGTAATAATTTCACTAAAAGTCAATCACAGCCATGCAGAAAATGTAGCAATTCCAGTCTCTTGAAAAGGCAATATTATTACCTGTTTCACAGGTAAAGGTATTTTGAGTTTCAGATAATGTAAATTTTGACTGAATAGAAAAGAAGGAGCCCATATTTAAATTTCCTAAGACTTCCTGAAAATAAAACATTTTAAGAGGGTACTTGTGCAGGTACTTTTCATCTTTATGGTCAGTGGCATACCTGGAAGGTGCTGATATTTCTTAGGCTAGCATTTGTGATAGAATATCTCTGTTAATCATCTGTACTCCAGCTTAAGTAAAAATAGGGGTTAAAAGTTTTGGTGAGTGTGTGCTGAAGTGTGAGGTGCAATTGGTGTTCTGGGGACTGACCTTGCAGTATAAATTATGTTCCTATCAGCAATTTTTATTTGATCTGATTACATTTAGCTGTTTATTCACTTCTGAGGTTAGCTTCAGAAATATGCATCAATATCACAATTTTTTTTTTAAAATTTATCATTATCAGCACTTTCTACATTTTGTTGTTTTTATTATGAGCAGTGTTCATTTTCCCACTCAGCTTTTAACTCCTTTAATTTCTGGAACGATGTGGCCATGTTTGCCATTGGAAGCAGGAGCATACACAAAATATATTAGCTCTATTTTTCTGTAGTTTTCAAAGGGCATTCATGTTTCACTGAAATTTTTAGCTGGTATCACTGTGTATTTGTATTTTCCTTTTAAGTGCACAGAGAGTACAAGGAAACTCTTGGAGCCTTGGGCTCTCAGTAATTTCAACCCTTTAACCTCGTTTAATCTCACGGCTTCTGAACGGGTTTGAACCAAGGACCCGACGGTGAGAGATGGCTTTCCACCAGGAACGTTTGTCTTTCTGATAGGCCTTTGCTGCCCTGCTCTCCATGGCATTTTCTCTTGCTCAGGCCCACCTGTGTGTGTGTGGAGGTTAACTGTGGGAATCACTCCCTGGCTTCTTTCCTCTCGCTGCTGTGGACCACCAGCACCCAACAACCATTTTTGAAACGGCGGCGTCTTCATTCGTTCATTTACCAGCCTCGAGGAAATTGATCTCCTCAGGAGAGGATGATGGCACCTGACCTGCTGAAAACAGAGATTTAATGTTCTGGGACAGGAATCAGAGCAGAGAGCCTGGGAGCTGCACACAATTAATTGGGTGCATCCTTCACTAGGACCTGTCAAAACCAATCGTGTCTTTCCTAAACTGGTGAAATTGTCACTATTGATAAGTGAGTGAAAAGGATTCTTGGGTGAAAAAGAGGCAACTCCTACTTACAGTGTAGTCCAGAGAAGTAAAAGAAAATGGCTTCTATTTTTTTCTTCTTTTATGTCAAGTGATTCTTTTTTGGGGACTTCAGAAATCATAAAAGAAGTGGAAAAGAGGAGGTCTCCCAAGGAAATACAGAAGATATACAATTTTACTTTTTTCCTAGATCTTTCCCTAGTGGAGGAAAAACAGAGTTATGCTCTTCTAGTTAAAATGTACCATATCAAGCATCATGCTGAAAAACAAATATTTAAGCTGTATTTTATGCTAATTCTACAGTAAGTTTGTTTTGAAGGAATGCATTTCTTTCCTTTCTAGTTAAAACTTAAATTATCAGAAGTGCAAGAACTAATGATAAAAGAAACAGTCTTGTAGGTGAGCCTGAAAATCTCAATAATTTCGTTTATTCAGGCTCACAGGTTTGGTTTATTGTTTGTAATCTAACAATCTTCATGCTTAATCTAATCCCTTTAATTTTCTCTCTAATGTAAATCTCCCTGAAAATGAGCAGCTTGGAAGGCTTAGAAGCTGCAGACATGATAGAGGACAATCAGTCTACAGCAGTGCCTTTTAAAAGCTCTATGTTCAGCCTCTTAAAATGTCTTTATTGTTCTTCTCAAAACAGAAATTTTGTCAATGGGCACCAATAATTTTGGAGGCTTCATATTGCCTTACTGATATTTATTATTTTAACAAGATCAGTGATGTTGTGAGGAACTAGTCTGTGCATATCAAAACATTCCTCTGCCCTGATAATGGCAGAAAACAAAAGCTATTTTATGTATGAATGTTGCAGCATCCTAGGTTGTCTTCATAGAAAATCCTGGGGGTGGGATGACATTCAGATATGTCTGGCGAGATGTGTTATTTCACAAAGCTTGGCATCAGTTGGAAAAGCAAGAAAGGCAGGATGTGCATGTGTTTCTTTACACTGTAAATTATTCAACAGCAGCTTTTCTGCTTCTATCCACAGTTTTCTTGTGTTTTGCTTAACCAAATTGAGCAGAGATAGAGATTCTGAAATTCTTTTTGTGGTTTTGTTAAGATATGGGGATAAAATAAACCAATGATTTCTGCTTTACTTATTTGATGTATAATTTTTTTTTTTCTAATGTAGACAATTTCATTCCCAACTGTTTCTGATGCTAAATTGTGTAAGCCTTAAATAAAGGAGAGAGATACATAATGACAGAGAGAGAGCAGCAAGCTGAACCACTGTAATGAAAAATGATTTAAAGCTACTCAGACTTTTGCTGTAGGGTTATGCACTGTGTATTTGATGTTGAAATGATCGGTGTGATCATTGCTGGTAAGGGGTTGAGCATGGGCTAATTTATAATACCAGACATTTCCTGTCTAATGCCATTGGTGTTGAGGGTGATACCAGTGTAAACTCTGTTCTGGAGTCTGCAGTCTCAGCAAATGGAACCCAGCTAGAGATAACTGATCTTCCCCTGCCTAATTTCCTATTTTATCTTCTTGTCAGAACTCTGATGCCAAAGGACTTTGGTATCTCATCCCTCTGGGAGACATGCTCGTGTTTACAGAACACAGCTCAACAGGTAACAAGCAATATTGTTCCACTGGGGTCATGTTACATTCTTGGGACCAAAATATAATTATTCGCAGTCAAAACTGAAACGCACTTTCAGAAATTTTGTATTACAGAAATCAACAAGTGTGGCTTTCACACATGTTTTCACTATGTCATGTTAAGGTTTTCTAGAAATAACTTAATGAAAGTGAGAAAAAGCACTGAAAAATTATGAAAAAGGGGTGGAGTGCACATGTGAGGGAGAAGAAAGCAAGAAAGAGAGAAAGAGAAATAATGGAGTAATAAAGAAAGAGTAAAAGAAAAAAGAAGAAACAAGAAAAAGTCCAAAGAAATAAACTTGCACACTGTATTTGGTAACTATAATTGCTGTGCTCTGTACAAAGACTTCTGTTTTTGATTAGAGACTTAAAGATAGGTTCTACTGAAAACAGTATTTAAAATTCATTATTTTTCTCCTTTTCCTTTGAATTCCTCATAATGTAAAACATTTACTCTGGTGCTTTTGGAATCTTTTGTTCTTTTCATTGAGTTACTCCATTTTTATTTTAATTTTACTGCCCTTGTAGTCTGGATATTCTCTAAAAAAGTTGCCTATCTGCCAAGAACAAATGCTCCTACACTGCCTGTTTCCCTTTTCCTCTTTAAAATTTCTTTTTCTAAGTGAAAATACAGTTTTGTTTGTCTGCTTTTTTCTTTTAAATACCTGCCTGCTTTTGTTTCTTAAGCAGATTTCTTACACTGGCACAGTGTCCATGGGTCAGGTCCACACTCACTTTTCTTGTCCAAATTTAACCAAAGACAATGTCAGTATGAGATTAGTAGATACCACCAGCACAAAATTAATCATTATTTTTATTTTATAAATATTAATTTTCATGCCATTGCCTGAAGATCTAAAAGAGCCTGCTTACAGGGATGTTAGTGAACTTCACTCCTGTTGATATTTCTGAAATGTCAATTGCTTTGTTCCACAGGAAGAGAATTGGAGAATGTTTGGGTAGGGATGGAACCTTAAAGCTCATCCAGTTCCAAGCCCTGCCATGGGCAGGGACACCTTCCACCAGACCAGGTTTCTCCAAGCCCCAAGTCCAGCCTGGCCTTGGACACTTCCAGGGATCCAGGAGCATCCACAGCTTCTGTGGCCAACCTGTGCCTCACCACCCTCACAGCCACGGATTTCTTCCTGATGCCTAATCTAAATCTCTCCTC